AAGAGGAATGTGATGCTACTCCGCGTCCAGCTGTTGTCTTAGACCCACACAATAACAACAGCACATGACTCCTGAACCTTTCCCAACAGTGTTTCGTGATGTAATTGCGTGTAACCTTGATAAGCCATGAAACTCGTTTGATAGACAGTCTAAAACAAACGAAGACTAATGGCATGCACTGCACGGAAATGTATACATTTTAAGTTGGAGAGTGAGCGTATATTATTCTTTCGTCAGCAATTGTTCTTCAATGTCTTCTAGACATTCACTTCTTGAATGTCTGATAGAATGTAAATACGTTCTCTACGAGGGTCAATTCATGGGTAGTTTCCAGTGCTTATAGACTACGGGCGATATTCAGATAGAACCTTTGGTTAGGATGAGCGGATCCTGGCAAACTTAAGGGTGGGACGTTTGCATAGTGAACTACGGGAGCCTAAAACGACTTTTCCCCCCTATGCATCCTGGATTAATCGTTGATTAGTTAGATATATATATACTGAACATCATTGAAAACGCACCAGTCTAAAGTTATCCATTTTTTCATCAAGATGGATTTCAGCATGACAATGATCAATGAATATAACTAACATGAAGTTGAAGGGCATGTCCAGTTGAAAAAAATGCTTTAGAAACAAATTCCTGTCCACAGTATGACTCTTAATTCCAAATTGCATCAACATGCAGCCACGCCATGCCGAGGTTAACACCTCACGAAAGAGAACGTGCACTAGGCATGATTCAGGTTGGCACCAGCAGCAGGGACATTGCTCGACAACTTGGACTTGGCCACTCCACCTTCGTTAGGCTTCATAGACGACACCAGTAGACAGGCAGCACCCGTGACCTTCAATGACCTTGGCTACAACGTGTTACGACGCTCCATCAGGATCGCCATATTGACCTTGTCCATATCAGTGATTGAACACTGCCGACTGCCAGGACTGCTGCACTTGTTCAAGGTTGACGTGGGGGTCATCAGCGCTGACTCCATGCGACGCCGTCTACATGCTACAGGCCTCCATGCTCGACGTCCTTACGTTGGACCAATTGTGACTGACAGACACCGTAATGAGCGTATACAATGGGCTAGCAGGCACTTTCAGTAAATGTTACAACAATGGCATGGTGTGATAGTCACTGACGAGTCACGTCTTCATCTACATAATGCTGACGTGTTTGGCGTAGTCGTGGTGGACGTTATGCTGATGAGTGTGTGGTTCAGACAAGCTTTTGGATTGTGGGAGCGTCATGGGCTAGGGTGGAATAAATTACAATCACAGGACTGCCTTCATGTCTGTCAAGGGAGAGTTAATGCCCTTTATTACCGTGAGCAATTTCTTCAGAATCACATCGTATCTGTCTTCAATCACCACCACGATGTCCATACTTTTCAACAGGACAACGCACGGGCAGACACAACAAGACTTTCCATGCAGTATCTGGCCCAGCAACACATCCAGGTTATTCATTCGCCCGCTCAGTCGCCAGATGTATCCCCCATGGAGAACTTGTGGGACGAAATTGGTCAAAGTCTTTCGCGGCGACAACAGATGCGAAACATCCGGGAACTTGATGCTGCACTACTGCAGAATTGGAATGCGATCTTCAAGAACTCTATTCGGACGCTTATTGACTCAATGAGGAGACGTTGAACTGCATGTGTCAATGCAAATGGCGGTCACACGCGATATTGACTTTTCGATTTGACCCCACTTGTGTTTGATCCTTTCTGACTCTGGAACATTTCAATGAATGAGCTTCTTTTCTGTGTTGTTGTTTTTGTCAGTCGTCCATCTGTTATTATCCACTCAAAAATATCAATTCCTTACACGTGCTTTTAATAATCTGAACTTTTATAAGTGGTGCGTTTTCAATGATGTTCAGTATATCACACAATCCAGTGCTCAAAAGCATGAGCATCGATCTACGCAATTGGGATATGATGGCATCTGTCAACCAAGTCAGCGAGCCTGACCATCCGATCAGCTTGTATTAGTCGCCTCTTACGACAAGCATTGGTTGCTGAAGACTAATTCTAACCCGGATCTTCACGGGTATATATAAACGAAGTGATACAAAATATATGCTACCTCAAAGTCTAATGCAGATGCGATTAACAACCATTGAAACGAGCCGTATTAGAAACGATGAGTATGTCCATTCATATCGTAAATAGCAGCGTATATGTGTCTGTGAATCGCCTCCTCCTTGAACGTATCAATATGAATAATGTTATCCTAAACCTGACAATTTCACACAATCAAATGAATTATGTTACCCTAAACCTGACAATTTAACACAATCAAATGAATAATGATATCCTAAACCTGACAATTTCACACAATCCAGATGAAAAATGTTATCCTAAACCTGACAATTTCACACAATCAAGATAAATAATGTTATCTTAGACCTGACAATTTCACATAATCAAATGAATAATGATATCCTAAACCTGACAATTTCACACAATCCAGATGAAAAATGTTATCCTAAACCTGACAATTTCACACAATCAAGATAAATAATGTTATCTTAGACCTGACAACTTAACACAATCAAAATAAATAATGTTATCTTAGACCTAGCAATTTAACACAATCAAGATCAATAATATTATCCTAAACCTGACAATTTAACACAATCAAGATGAATAATGTTATCCTAAACCTGACAATTTAACACAATCAAGATGAATAATGTTATCCTAAACCTGACAATTTCACACAATCAAGATAAATAATGTTCTCTTAGGCCTGACAATTTCACATAATCAAATGAATAATGATATCCTAAACCTGACAATTTCACACAATCAAGATGAATAATGTTATCATAAACCTGACAATTTCACACAATCAAGATAAATAATGTTATCTTAGACCTGACAACTTAACACAATCAAAATAAATAATGTTATCTTAGACCTAGCAATTTAACACAATCAAGATCAATAATATTATCCTAAACCTGACAATTTAACACAATCAAGATGAATAATGTTATCCTAAACTTGACAATTTCACACAATCAATCAAGATCAATAATATTATCCTAAACCTGACAATCAATTGCAAGATGAATAATGTTATTCTAAACTTCACCATTTCATGCAACCAACATCAATAATGTTATCCTAAATCTGACAATTTTACACAATCTTCAAAACCAAACGAATAAATAAAACATATCCAGATTCCTCCCCAAATCCTCCCTTGAAATATTTGACCATGATAGATGATGTTCATGGTGATGATGATCATATGGCTATGATGACGCGTGTATGTATATAGCCAAGGTGATAACATTTGTACCCAGTCTGTGAGTACACTGTTAAAACGTTGCCATGATGCCATTGGTAGGCTAATGTCGTTACCAGAGGAGCCGTTGGGAGGGAGAGAGTTTAACTCACTGATGTTTTGCAAACGACTACATTTGCTCTAAAAGATAAGGTAAAATTAAGAAATAACCTCTGGGAACTAAAATAATAGAAATCTAGAAACCGGTTTTGTGCCTGATCCCGAGGTTGTTTATACAGATCTAGATCCCAATGGGATTAGTATGGGTAAAATCAGTTAATGGTATATTTCCATCAGCACTTAGACGTACCGGTCTTCGGTACACTCGCACGCGTCTTTCAAGGACATATTAAAAGGTTTTCAACAGGGCAGACAAGACAAATACTTGGCTTCATCGGGGGCGGTGAGGTAGCTTAGTGGTTAAAGCGTTCGCTCGTCACGCCGAAGACCCGGGTTCGATTCCCCACATGGGTACAATGTGTGAAGCCCATTTCTGGTGTCCCCCGCCGTGATATTGCTGGAATATTGCTAAAGGCGGCGTAAAACCAAATTCACTCACTCACTCACTCACTTGGCATCATTGACGAATGTTATGATTTATGAAAACACGATGTAGTCGGAATCCTACAATCGGAATCAGAATCAGCTTGATGTGTTGGGTTTTTTAAACGGAAAATGTTTTTGTCACTATTTCTCAATATATAAAGATTCAGTTTGTTGTAAGTTGGCAACAAGGCCCTTCACTCCGTGTTCAATGTGTATTAAATGGAAAGCTCCGACACGGGTCGTGTATGTTTACAGACTACTATATGCTTTAGGATGAAATCTGATATTCGAAAACAGTCTGCTTATCCTGGTAGCCTGGGGACACAACTCACTCCGTGACACCAGACCCGTAAGGTGGAACTGATAAAGTCCAACCCGGGCGCATATTACGTATATACAGTCAGAAAATTGGCTCTGACGTCAATACATATTGTGGTATAACCATGTTGACCCACCTCGTATGCCTTTGTGTAATAATGTTTTGGCGTCGTGAATTATTTTTTTTTTAATGTTTCAGATTTATTTCTTATGAAGAACATCACTACAGAAAACATACATATTTAATCATTTGAATTATATCTCAAAGCATAACAATAACAGAACAGACATCATAAATTAACATTGACGTCAACATTCAATAACCTGATATAATTATTATGCTGACAGCAACATCTGAATGATCCCACATGATCCCACATCAAGTGTTGAAGGACCCCAAGGGTCGTGAAATAATGACGCTTGTCTTTCTCTAACTTTGTCATGGATATTAGGGAGACGTAGTGATTCTGAGAAGTTTATGTCCTTTTGTATATTATGGATTTTTTACTAAAAAAATTCGACTGATCGGGATTGTCAGGCACGATGACATAGTTTGTTGTGTCAGCATGACCCGATGGAATTGCTATTTGCTCATGTTTTCTGTCACTGGTTTTCCTACGTAGGTGGAAATAGTAAGGATGATTTACTTTGTTGACAATATTCTGTGGCTTTAAGTAACATTCACCCATAACTCACGCCTTGATATTCATTGTTATATTGGAAGCAGAATGAATGTGCCAACATTTGAGGCTATCGCCTTTGTTGTTTTTAGAGTTGTTGGTTCATGTGTGTTAGCTCCCATTTTTCCTAAAACCCCTGTTTCCTGTTTTCCAGGTATCGCCGTCTCGGCCAGTACGTTCACCATCACGGCTATGAGCCTCGACAGATGTCTTGCCATCCGCCACCCAGTCGCCATCAGAAGACTGAGGACAACCACCTTCGTCCGCATCCTCATCTTCTGTGTGTGGACGTTTTCCTTGCTCATCATGGTGCCTCTTCCAATCATCAGACGGACTGTGACAGAAGAGATCCTTCCTGGACAGTCCCTTATATTCTGCATTGAGGAGTGGCCTTCATTTGCTCACAGGCGAACGTACGACATCGCCATACTTCTTATCGTGTACATCATTCCTGGGATCATCATATCAACGTGTTATATTCTCATGGGCAAAAGGTTATGGGTGCCAGACAAGGAATTAAACCGAGATTTGTACCGTTATCCTATACAACGAGAACCTATATGCCGTATGCATCGTTTGACGACGGGACGGCGGAGGTTGGCGAAGTTGTGCATCGCTGTTGCTGTTATGTTTGCTCTATGTTGGCTTCCGTATTACATAGTGACGACATATTTGGACTTCCGACCTGACTTGGATGCGGCGGACATCGTCCACTTCACCCTTCTTCTCGGACATCTTCATAGCGCGTCTAACCCCGTGCTTTATTGTTTTTTACATAAAACATTCAGAAGATACCTAAGGAAATTCGTCTTCTGCGGATATAGATTAAATCCTTCGAAAATGATTAGCAAGGTGAGAAAATCGTTTTCTTCTTCTTCGTCTTCTGCCAATACAAACAACTGAATATGTCCAAGGCATGGTTGATAGCTACAACATCAACTCGTGCCTCCAGGATAAGGCATGGTTGATAGCTACAACATCAACTCGTGCCTCTAGGATATGAGACAGTTAGTAATTAAGGGTCCAGCCATGTAACTCGACCATTATTTTTGTAATATTCTTACAATGAGCGTACTAAAGATTTGGGACTTCCTGTTCCGAAAGCGCAGGATAAAGGCTGGTTAAATATATTGCTAGCTGAATGTTTGTATGTTAATCTACACGCAACAACATTCAAAAATATTGTTCAAATACTCAACGATTTGTTAAAGCTTACATTTTTTATAAATCCGGTTAATGGTTTGCGTTGTTGAGACTAAGTGGTATAGATTTTGTTACCCAGATGATTGAGTAGGGTCTAATGGCGCCTCCGGCAATGTTCCAAGAATATTTACACCCAGACTGCCTGAATGTGCATGTGGTACATGACCGAAAACCTTTAAAAGGGACTCAGAGAGGATTAGGTGCCCTTATGTTACCCTATGAAAGATAGTAGGTTCAATAGTACATGTTACTCTGACACCTTGTAGGAACGATACAAACAGGTGTACCTTGAACATCACGTTAAAAGTTTTACAGCTGGTTAAAGCGCAAGGTAATATTCAGGAATCACATGACTCGCTGTAGGGGGTGAGTTGTGGTTTATTCAGGATTTCTTAGTCATATATCTATCAGCCCTGAAACACACATAACATTCTTAGAGACATTAACACATCACAATTAGTTTATCACAATTAATTATGTAGTCTAACAATTACACATGTAAACTATACAAATTGTCAAGGGAAATGGTAATCACATGAAACTATATGCACAATGTTGGTTGTGCCACCAAGGGAGATAATTCAGTGCCAAACAAAAACATTTTGCCCAAGTAATGTAAAAATTAAAACAAGAGGTACACATACATCGACAGACAATAAAGTTCACAATTAACATGACATACAACCAGATAACTATTTGGTAATCCTCCAAGGCTACCCGAAAGGTGTACATAAAAAATAGAAATATACTGACATCTTACCCATTTGTGTAAATAGAGCCTTAATGATTAGACCATGATGCGCTGTTACATGAGTTAATATGTGACCTGCCAATTACAAACATCATTCATCATTGTGACAATTCATTTACCATCACTCACGATCTCCGTTCATACAATGCAAAGAAAACCATTGTATGCATATACAGAGGGAAAGCTGAGCACAATGGCTGCTCATACAGAACATTCAGCAACATGATGCTTTCACCAATATTTTTTGTTCTCCACTCACATAACACACAGAAAACCATTGAACATACATACATTTAGAAAACTGAGGAAAATGGTTGTGAAAATAGAACAGTACTTACAATGTTATTTGGTTTCACATGAGTTATAATACAATACAACATGAAGTTTGGCTTTAACGTAATTTACCAACTTTAACTAGTGTACAACATTGCCCTATATAACAAATTACCAAATAACATTTAAAATGCAAGTAATTTAATGAAGTTATAAAAGAACAACTATACTTGAACCTATTTTAATGTGAAAGTATTTAACTGACCTGTTTGATGTTGTCTATTTACCAGTGGACCTTGTTCCCTTGTTACTGTGCTGTGATATACTGAAGTATTATTACAGGGGTACCCGGATCGGTGCATGGGAATTATGGGAATTTTAAATTAGCCAATTGGGAGCTACGAATTAGGGTCAGGTGATAAACAATAATCCAAAATGAGACCATACTCTTGATCCAGCATTTTTCTGAATCATAAACATAATAGAAACGTTTCAGATGAATGAAATGCATCTGAAAGACATAACAAACATAACCAAATGTCAATATGATTGACATATACATAAAACCACAAACATTAGAACACTACCACCAACCTTCAATATTTTTAGTGACCTTTTTATGACTTATATACATGTTTTTCTTATTTTACTTGTAAAGAATAAAACACTGTAACACCATTTTATATAATATAGTTATAAAATAGTTCTATACAAACAAACCAAACTGATTGTTAAAAAACATGAAAAATGTCTCTGCTACAAAAGCACAGAAAAGAACGATACGTACAACTAAACGCATACAGCGGTAAAAAGTGAGCCGTTTACATTATTGCAAGACATGTCTGCTAAAATCTGGCTCAGATTTATAATTTCATCATTATCCTGCGTTTATGATTCACACATGATTTGATGACGATGCGGGGTGAGCGTGTGTGCTCCAGCCTGTTCACAGGTCTATTTCTTTTATATCATTAACTAACGTGAGGATTCGGGTTAGAATTGGTCTTCAGCAACCCATGCTTGTCGTAAGAGGCAACTAACGGGATCGGGTGGTCAGACTCGCTGACTTGGTAGACACATGTCATCGGTTCCCAACTGCGCAGATCGATGCTCATAATGTCGATTACTGGATTGTCTGGTCCAGACTCGATTATTTACAGACCGCCGCCATATTGCTGGAATATTGCTTAGTGCGGCGTTAAACACCAACCAACCATCCAACTATATGACATTAGATGGATGCGTAATGTGAACTTGGCGACTGCACAACATCGTCTACTGTTGCTTTGCTCTTTCATTTGCACAAGACCAGATCAAGTTGCGCACCTTCCAGAAAGCATTAACTGATGACAACAATTATCATTTCGCTAAAACAGGGCTTAAGGCGATTCCCAGAAAGGAGTGTCCTCCTTTACAACAAATACTGTCCTTTCATCGGTCTGATTTTAGAGACATCTCAACTAAATACCATCGGATCTTGAAAAATGTTGTTTAATTTGACACTAAAGGTTGCTTTCTTAGACGAGGTGGGCGATTTATCATGGCACGGTTTCGACTATGTGACTCATTTGATTTAAAACACATGAATGTCCCCAAGGCGGTTGAATGACTTTAATTGATTCTTATCGCTCACATTTGATGATGTGCAGTGTCACTTATTTAAGGGCTCTTTTCGCCACCCGCGAAATTACATTTATTCGATCGTCGTCCTCATGCTTGGAAATACCCACTTACCAGATCCATCGATAGCTTCTCACCAAACCTTTAACTCTGATCCAAAATTCAGATGATACAAAAAAACAAAGAAGAAAAACAAAACAAAAAAACATATAAATGGCATTGTTAGAATAACTTTAACGCACAACACTCTCCATGAATGTAGGCCTTGTTTCATTCTCAGCTGTGTTTCAATCAGTTGTTTCTTAAAATGAAGCCCCATCTATAATATGACTTACAGTTTTAATGTGTCTCTACTTCATTTTCTCATGTTGAAGAACAAATGAAAAAACACTTATGTGGACGTCTGTTTTATTGTCGCAAGGATCACGTATATTATGATGGCGATGTTATTTGACATCTTTGGTCATTGCATAACAAGTGTATCACGTATATTATGATGGCGTTGTGATTTGACATCGTTGGTCATTGCATAACAAGTGTATCACGTTTATTATGATGGCGTTGTGATTTGACATCGTTGGTCATTGCATATGTGCAGAAACTGTCCCATTATGTACACATCCGAATTGAAAAGACCGTTGTATGTGCTACGGTACATTCATTCATTCATTCATTCATTGGGTCGACCATTGCATTGTGCTACAGCCCATCTGGCATTTACCTTTGATGTACGTTTGTTCATCAGAATTGTACTGACTGAGTTTGGTTTTACGCCGCTTTTAGCAATATTCCAGCAACATTACGGCGGGGGACACCAGAAATGGGCTTCACACATTGTACCCATATGGGGATTCGAACCCGGGTCTTCGGCGTGACGAGCCAACGCTTTAACCACTAGGCTACCCCACCGCCCCCATCAGAATTGTAAATTGTTTTTGTAGGTTTTGTTTCAAACTCGGAAAACTAGTAACCTTGGAGAACTAATATCAAACCAGGATATACTTATATTACAGGTATATCTCTTACAAGGGTTCAGGGTAGTTGGGCCGAACCAAAACCAAACGTAACCTGCTATGTATTTAGAAAATAATATGTGAAATGTTGTTCTTCCTTCGAGGGAGCATATATTTTGAATTTGAGGCGATTTTGAAAAGAGGCGTCGGCAACAGCCTGATCTGTTTCATGTTTAGATCCATGTATAATGATTTGGAGTGACGATATCGTTACCACTTTAGTTTGTGACAAAAGCGCTCACTTCATCTTTCATAAAAGAAAAGGTAAAAAACGCTGTGAATATAAAAAGTACTGTCTCAACTCCAAACATGTATTTTTCAAGCATCGTCTACAAAGGCATATTAACACTGGAATATTATAACCTAAATTAACTCCAACATTCTTCATTCTTTTATTTCGTCCAAACAACAAACATACATATAAATAGTCCTGAATTCCTGCTGTCAAAAACAATATACTCAATCCTTTTTGTTCGTGATAAAAATTCCTTAAAAGTAAAAAACACTTCGGGTGTAATTTCCTTCCACGCTTCATCTACACTTAAGTTCCAAGGTTACTTATTGATATAACATGAAACTTCATCTCTTTGAATTCCTTCCCTCATTCATGCTTCAGCACCATCTCTGACATAAACACTCACACACACTCCCGGTAATCATATTTAGTACTGCTTCTCTGTTGTCTCGAGACCTTCCCATTAGCACGTCCTTGACGTGTCTGGTCTATGTCGGACAAACAATACTAACTGGTAGCGGCATGTCTCTCCATCTGGGAAATATGTTTAAAAGAACTAAACCTCAGATAAAACAACACAAATGTCATTTTTGGTACAAAATGCACCGAGCATCTGCCCTGTTTTAAAGGAGCAAGGCCTCGGGCACTATGGTCGATAGGTCCATCGTCCTGTTTTGCTTGGTGTGAGAAGACATGAAACTGGATGGGGTGATCTTGGCTGATTGTGGGTAGTCAAACTCCGATGGTTTGTCCTGTCCTAACGCAACAATTTTAGCTTTTATAGTGCTGACTTGGCTTTTAATAACATTCACTCATTCACTGACTATGAAATATGCTATAAAACAAAGTATAAAATTATCAGTTCTCCATGTTATCTCCCACTGGGATGCCAAGTAGTGTCTCCTTTAGACATACCAGAATCCTATAGTCATTGGTTCGAACCCGAGGTTTGCAATCATACTAATGGTAATGGTTTGACAACACTATATCACCCGTGATGGTTGTTTTCACTAAACTGACCGTTTCTCAACTTGACTGCTTCATTCAGGTGACACGACACTGCAGCTGGAATAGCCCCGAAGTTCCGACACAGCCCACTAAATTACACCTTAGACCTTTCCAGATTTCCCTTCACCCTAATCATCGACATGTGGCAATCCAAATTGTGGAACCCAAAAGGCAACCGGATATTTCTAGCCTCTCTAATTTTCTACGTTTACTACAAATTTACCACCAACCGTCAGGATTTATTTCCAGTAAGGCCACATAGTGTATTGATTATGGCGCAACATCAGACAGCAGGACCAACTGTTCTTAACTCGCCCAGTGTGAGGTTAGCACATTGCCCCAACTATGTTATAATGGGCAGTTGGTAGCGAGCGTCAAGGAGACTAATGCTGTTTTCTATGCGGCATCAACAGGAGGCTAATGCTGTTTTTTTATGCTGCATCGTCAGTGCCCATAAAACCTGAAATGCCCTTGGATGTCCACGCTTTGTGGGACAATGAGAACATTAAGTCTCTTATATACTATAAAGCACCTATTGTGACTGACTTTTACGTTGACATCATAGGTAATATGTCTTGACATAGTTGGCTGTAATGTATATATTATAATGTATCATAATAATTTTTATATATTTATCCCACACACGCAAACACATACACACGCACACTGAGACATATATGTATATTTACGTTTAAGAATATCTAACATAGCAGATGCTATCTGAAAAGCTTACCCTTGCTCTGGTAAGTCCGATTGTGAATTATTCATCTTTCATGTATTTTCATATTAAATTCTTCTGATGTACCTGTGTGATAAGGAAACTAAATGATCACCTGTGTTAAGAACACAACGAGTTGGTGGGCAGATTTTAAATTTGCCTCTTTAACATCAGCATTACGGTCAATTTTCAGAAAGCAGGCAGGGTCGATTGTCAACCCCAATGCAGAACAATGCACATTAAATATTGCACGGAGAGGAGTTGTGAGCTGATGCTTATAAGTTTCACAATATGATAATATGAGCACATTATCAGCGGAATTTAGAATTGACCTCTGAGTGACATGTGTATCTGCAACTGTATTGAGAAACTTTTAACACAGATGGTTGAAAACATGAACTATTTGTACCAACGTATAATTCAGTGTTCTCCTGATCTGGTGTATTTGTGACTATAAATGGAATTTTCATTATATAAACGGGATTAAACTCATCATCTACCAGTAGAAAATGCATCAAAGTCATTCTGGTAGCTGGCATTTCATTAGAGATCCATTTCTCTTTCGACTTCCCTCAATTTTCAGCAGACACGCGAGGCGTGTGAAATGATGTCCTCATTTGCCAAATAAAGCCGTCAGAGATTATGTTGACATTGATACTAATCAGATATTGAGTTCACATAAGGAGAATGCTTATTTATAATCAAGTGCTTATTGCTTTTCCAAGATTAAGTGTAAGGGAGTGTTAATAACGATGTTATTAACCTATAAATGACGTACGGGAACATTTGTTCTATAACATTTAATAAACGTGGCCTGTATTGCTTTAATATCTCGTATATCAATTACAATTGTCCCTGACATGGGGAACAGACATTTAAACCGATGAATTAGTTTATATGTGTGTCTAAATACTTAGTCTTATTGATCCCTGGCTGAGTCTGAAATCCTTTTACCGCAGTATCTGGATGGTTGGCGGAAAGGTCATGCAGTCTGAGAGTAGGCAATGATTGGAAAACATACCACGCAATTATGTCGCCTTAATTGAAACTTATTTTCGGACACATATTGATTGAAAGTCCCATTTGGACGTTTATTGCGATTTCTAAACGATTTACAGAAAGGGCGTCTTATTAACCAATTTATTTCAAACAACTTCTGAGGTAATATTGCTTTTATGGTTCGCTCAACCTGTTGTAAGGGTAGAGATCCTAGGTGGAAGTATAAATTTATTAAATATTTCGGAACACTCATGCGCCATTATTACCATCAGTAAAGGAGGGACTTGAACCCACTTTGAACATATTTAAAGTATGTCACCTGTAGGGGGTTAAAAATACGTAATGAGCTTACTCGACAAAAAGGGACTAAGGTATGTTCTTAAGCAAGTATGTTATAATAGCAAAGCGGCGTGTTATGAGGTCATTGACCTAATAGTGTTCTTCCAGACAAGGAACAGAAGGCGTTGCTGAGTTATTGAGCGCTCACTTCCTTCAGAACGCGTGATTACCTGCACAATAAACACACCGTGTTTTGGGAGGCATTCCAGAAGAGGGGTGTAAACATGTTAGTAGCATCACATGGTGTGTGGAGAATCATTTGAATGGTTAGAGAGTAATGGTCCTTTTCCTTGCTTTCATGTACCTCTTAATCTTCCTGCTGATGGATATGAATATGAGAGGCTTGTAGTGAACCTATAGTTTGAATCAAGTCAAGCGTAAATGTAGTCAAAATCCACTTCTTTGTACCTGCCATTAGGCAATAGGTATTGTATTTCACTTTCTTGATTAATTCTTTAACCTTCCAGTCTTCTTGCTCTAGTTGGGGCACGAGTTTGAGGCCGCAATTGGCTTTGTAGAGTTTTGGGACAGAAATCAGTGATCACAACTTGGAATCCCATACTCTTGTGAGAATTTAGAATCGGTCCCTTGTAGAATAGTTTGTCTATGACCACTAAAAGACGATCTGGTGTTATGTTCTGAGATTTGTCCATTTGTGTCCTGGTTAAGATTGGTAGCTGGCATGCTGGTGTAGATTATTAAACAAATCATGAACTGTAGAAGTAGCAGTAGCAGTAGTCGTAGTCTGACTGACTGACTGAGTTTGGTTTTACGCCGCTTTTAGCAATATTCCAGCTACATCACGGCGGGGGACACCAGAAATGGGCTTCACTCATTGTACCCATGTGGGGATTCGAACCCGGGTCTTCGGCGTGGCGAGCCAAGGCTTTAACCACTAGGCTACCCCACCGCCCCAGTAGTCGTAGTGGTAGTGATAGTAGTAATAGACGTAGTAGAAGTGATAGTAGCCGTTGCAGTCGTCGTAATAGTAGTGATAGTAGTTGTAGTCCCGTATTGGGTGCTAGTAGCAGTAGCAGTAGTGGTAGAAGCAATAGTAGAAGTGGTAGTAGTAATAGTAGTCGTAGAAGAAGTACTAGATGTAGCATTAGTGTTGTCCTGGTGGTATTATTAATGTATAAGCAGCAGTAGTTGGATGTTGTTGTGGTAGGAGAAACAGTGGTAGTAGTAGAAATTGTGGTGGTGGTGGTAGTAGTAGTAGTAGTAGTAATAGTAGTAGTAGTAGTTATAGTAGTAGAAGCAGTAGTAGTAGTAGCAGTGGTAGTAGTAGCAGTAGTGGTAGAAATTGTGGTGGTGGTGGTGGTGGTAGTAGTAGTAGTAGTTGTAGTAGTAGTAGTAATAGTAGCAATGGTAGTAGTAGCAGTAGTGGTAGAAATTGTGGTGGTGGTGGTGGTAGTAGTAGTAGCAGTAGTAGAAGCAGTAGTAGTAGTAGTAGTGGTAGAAATTGTGGTGGTGGTGGTAGTAGTAGTAGTAGTAGAAGCAGTAGTACTAGTAGTAGTAGTAGTAGTAGTAGCAGCAGTAGTAGTAGTGGTAGAAATTGTGGTGGTGGTGGTAGTAGTAGTAGTAGTAGTAGTAGTAGAAGCAGTAGAAGTAGTAGTGGTAGAAATTGTGGTGGTGGTGGTGGTGGTAGTAGTAGTAGTAGTAGTAGTAGTAGTAGTAGTAGCAGTAGTAGTAGTAGTAGTAGTAGTAGTAGTAGTAGTAGTAGTAGTAGTAGTAGTAGTAGTAGAAGCAGTAGAAGTAGTGTCCTCGGCGTGTGTTTGCGAATAACTGTCAAGTAGCGATGGTATCAGGTGTTATCAAATGGACAGCGTATCCTGCCCCACGGGTGGCACCCATCACAAACATATGCAAAGGCAAAGCAAATGTTCAGAAGGCGTGAACATATGTGAACTGCAAATGTGGAATTAATTAATCTTTCCAGTAATTCGTTGACTTATATTTATCCCCCTTGTCGATGACCACTTAAGTCATTTTACAACACTAATATGTTTAAGTGTCATAAAGGATTATGACATACCCTACATGCATGATGATATTATATTAATAATATAATTAATAATACCTATACACTATACCTTTATTGGACCCATAATTTCAATATTGAAAATGGATGCATTATGCTCATTTTTCAGGATGTGTTGTTAGTCGTGTTTGTAAGTTGGCAATGACAAGCTGTGAAAGTTCAGTTTCTACCATCACGTATCGCCAAATACAGAGGCAAACTGTAAAAATCAGTTTCCGATCTCTAAAGCCTAGTAGAATTTCACGAGTTTCTTTATATCATTGTAGTTGTTTGACTCGAAGCGTCTTTCGTCTGATTGTCTCTACAGGATGTCGTTAGCCTTACTTATGACGACTTCACTTGCTGAGTATATACCAGAATATTCTATTATTAACACAATAATGACAAACCCACGACTATTTAGTCAATGCATTTTTGGATGTCTTTGTTCTGATACAAAAGACTTTCTGTTTCTCAGGTGATGTTTTCCCGCCCCTTCACGAGTCATAGTTACCGTTCGAGGTCGTCACTCCACAGCTCATTCCGTGACTCTATGAGAGGTACGAACATCCGCCTGACGGCGACCAGAGTGGCCCTTGACCGTCACAGAGGAGTAGAAACAAGGTCGGATGGGAGCTGGCACAAAGCTTCTTTTCTTTCTGGCTCTCGCTCGGACTCCCACTCCAGTTCTGCCGACATGGAACGCGGCAACCGGAACCAGCTGCAGGTACCCCGTGCCGGAAGACCCCTGTACACAGCCTCGTTCCGATCTCACCGCAGGAGACGATCCGACATGGAGGATTCCTTCAGCAGCTCCTGATTCAAACGTGATGAGATATTTGACTTGTGCTTCTTGTGAATTGTATTTTATATCCAAATAATGGATCTGTGATACCATGTTCTTCTTTCTTTGTTGTTTGATATTACATTTGTATTACATTTGTAAGCGACGGGTTCAACATTCATTCAGGAGACAGTACAGGAATTATGAAGCGTCTTTGTACATAATGTTACAGTTATTTTCTTTGTTTACATTTACCCATCTTTCCATTGTCTAAACATTCTATCTTGTTATTTGAGTGAATAAATATATGTCAGATATTCCGTTGTATTTATTTGCTCAAATAAAGAAGAAACATTTATATTTCTTTCTTAGTGACAGTCACCCCAGTGACCTAAATCGCCTTAATTAGCTGAACATGGACGTAACCTTGGGCAGGCTAGAAACCTATGATCGCTGGTTCGATTCCCGGTAAGCCCCGATTATGATTCTCTGTTTGTCAGCAGAATTCCGCGGTGGGCGAGCTGTCTAAGGCGCCAGGATAGTAATCCAGCGAGCTTGGAGGTGCCGGGATGGAGCCCACCTGTGAACGGGTGTCGAAAACCTTGGGAGTCAACTTTGTGTGCAGACTCTTTCAGTGTTGTCACAACCCCTAGTGTACAGTACACAACCCTGTGCACTTAAAAGAACCCACGAATCCGTTGGTAGATGACCCGATGGTGGTCACATGAATACGTGCAAACACCTAGCTAGTTGCGGGTACAGCAACGTGCAGTAAACTTGGACAAATTACTGTGACTATGTGTCCCAGTCCACCCATCTGTGAATGGGTACCACGTAAGGATGGAAAAGCCACATTAACTCGGTGCGCCTAGTAGGCAGCAAGAATTGTATGATCCCCAGGGAGTTGAGATTGAAACATACGATGTGCCGTTGTGATGGACATCCAATGATCGAGGGAAAACAAAGCGTCTTTGAGCAGTTGTACTGGATATCGGCGCTATACAAATGTTCGTATGTATGTATTTATGTATGTATGTAATTCCCTTGCCCATGGGTTTCACGAAAGTGGTAAAAGTCTGAGACCTGCACCGCTTCGGGCTTTCCTCACGCATTAAGCTGTGATGTTACTGGAATATTGTTAAAATGATGTTAAACCTTACCTCCCTCACTACTCCACGTCCTGAACCTAATGGATAATACTATATCAACAAGTTGTCAAGTGAAATCCAAGTATATGGATGCATCCCATTTGGTATGAAGTATTCAAGAACTAATCTGAATGCAAGATTACGAATACACGTTTGCCCATAACAAGCATTGAGTGCAGTAAGGGTTTCCGTCCATACACGCGAGGCTGTTAATTCCAGAAGACTAATTTATTATATATAGTTTAATTAGACAAATGCACACGTCTGGATGCATCACGCACTGAATGCTTCGTCTAGGGTTACCTCCTAAAAATGAAATTCAAATTGACTAATATTTTACATTTCTTGCACATTTCCATCCCTACATTTGCGTTACTACTGGTATTTATCCAGTTCTGACAAGGTTACTGCAGACATATGTCACAAAATCAATATCACAAAATTCTCTAATGTTGGTTTAGCACCATTCTGAACACTTTTGTTTTGTTTGTTTGTTGTGTAACATTGCCCTCAACAATATTTCAGCGATATGTAAATAATCAAGTCAATCCAGTGATCAACATCATGAGTATCGATCTACGCAATGATGACATTATCAACCAAGTCAGCGAGCCTGACTACCCGATCCCGTTAGTCGTGTCTTACGACAAGCATGGGACTAAAGGCATCGAAGCCCACTGGGCCACTCGTCCCCCACTTGGCTCATTAACCCACCTTAACAGCAAAACCACTCCAAAAACTAAACTTAATGATCCCAAAGTTTTAAATTGAATAATATGAACAAGTATTTTTTACCACATAGCGTTGGGTCGTAATTTACAATTACCTTGTCTCTCAGGTTAATTTGTGAAAGGATATTAGTTCTTAACCTCATAAAATCTTAGCACTAGATTTGTGCAACATTGTCAGATCAAAGGCTCCTTTCTTAGACCCTTCAGCTTTATTGTGTTATGTTTGTGTTCCACCAATTCCCAAACGCCAAATGAATGAAATTTGGGCGCAAGATTTGTAGCCCCTCTTTGCTGAATATATCTGACTTAATAAGGAATCTCTGTGTGAAAACATTATGCAAGATTAAAGGAACATGTCCTGGAACAGAGGAAAACATTAATAATAGCATCTTCATCTCTTTGTTGATACCCTTTGTGGAGCGGTAATGATTTATGAAATATTTAATGAAAATGCCACGTTCCTGAATCTTATTCGGTTTCATGGCACGACCAGTAGGCGTGAACATAATTTCATTTCCAGACATCCCAAGTAATTTATGAGATCAGATAGGATTTCAAACCTATCTCCTCCCAGACTCATCCCCAGTTTAACAATGTATTGTAAATTATGTCTCATATAACCAAATCATTTGGGTTTGAAAGGAATGATTATGCATTTCGGAACACACCATGTTGCGGGTTTATTTTATTATTCTTTTCAATTAATTTGGGAACAAAACCCCTTCCACCTGCAGCCTGACCGGATTTGAATTAACCGCCGAAGATATACGAGGGGAGGTCAAAAAGTTTTGAGCACTCGCTATCTAAAGTCATGAAACAGCTATGCCGCTAGTAGTATTGCATACATTGACCATTCATGAGATACCTGTTTCAACACCTCGCAACAAACAGTATTAATATTGTGATAAGTGGAAGAGAGATACCCTACTGATATCATGGAGAGTTGTCAAACTGGTGCCTAAACCAAGCTTCTGTTGTAGCCTTGAGCTCATTATTGGCAAATCGTCTTCCACGCAAGTGTGGCTTCAAATTTCGATCAGGTTATATAATCAGTGGGTGCCAGGTCAGGTCTGTACTCGTGGATTCTGCTTGCGTTGGTGCCCTCTAGTGTGAGGACATGAACTACAGCTTTGTACTCAGTTTTAGAATTCTCCATGAATTATCACAATATTAATACTGTTTGTTGCTAGGTGTTGAAACATTCATAGGTATCTCCTGAATGATCAATGTATGCCACAAGCGGCATACCTATTTCACAACTTTAGGTAGTGAGTTCTCAAACCTTTTTGACCTCCCCTCATAAGACAGTCTGAGCTTTCAACAGACTACAGAAGACTGGCTAACAAGAGCGCTGATTATTGGTAATATATAGGCAACCCAAACTTGGATTTGTTTTTTCTAATGCCAGCCATAAAGAATACAGCAAGGGTAATGCCAACGGATGTGTTGACAAGTTTTTGAGCCCATTCGGGGTCGGAATAAATGTTGGGTCAGAACAATTTGACAGGCTTTGTTCCAAAGTACCATTTCGTGATTGGCTTGTTTGTCTGTATGCATCTATATCCATATTTATAAACATACATATTTTCATATTACATAGGACAACCAAATAAGTGGTATTGAACATGTTGTTTATGTGTTATGAATCATGTGTTCGCGAAAAGATGAGCGGTTCCTATCCCACAGGTTGTGCATATATGCAAAGGTGACTAAATGGTTCACTTGAAAAATTGGGGAAGTCAGAATAGGGCATTGCATTGGACCATATTATTTTCATTGATGAAATTTGAAATGTCCTCCAATTTAAGAATATTTTACAAATCTGGGCATAAACAAAAACATAACGAAAAGTATCAACATATAAAGATGTTCGTGACAGATAGCCCCTTGGAAGCCGTATTGCCAGACTTGATGTTTACTCGACGAAAGTAGAGACGTATGCCTCCCATCGACAACGAATCTGCTCCCCTCTTTGTGGATCTGTTTCTTTATGCATAAAAATCAGAATTTCTGTTCGAGTTAGCAAAATCAGAACAAGGTTATTTGGCCAAGACGGGCAACTTTGGTTTCAGGTATATCGAGGAACTAATAATCGTTCAATAACCATCAAACAGTTATTCATAAACATGTGCACGTGATATGGTGGGAATTGTACAATCAACTCTGCTTTTAGCAGCGATTTCAAACTGGTGAAGGAAAGATTGTGTAACTTTTATCGGAAACATTCACATTTTTTTTCACCGCCTCCGTGGTGTAGTGGTTAGAGCGTCCGCCCGGAGAGCGGAAGGTCGCGGGTTCTATCCCCGACCGCGTCATACCAAAAGACGTTAAAATATGGTACTTGTTGGTCCCTGCCTGGCGCTCGGCATTAATGGGTACAACAAGGACTGGTCGACTCAGAGTCAGTATAATGTGTCTGAGTGGGGTATTCATGCTTCACTGCGGCATGGTATCTCAGTGGGCTAGCACTATAAAACCAGCTTAAGTCTGGGCTAGTCCAAGCACCCGCACATACACATACACACGCATGCACGTCGTCATATGAGCGAAATATTCTCAAGCACGACGTAAAACCCAATTTCACCTCACCTCACATATTTTTTCAATTGAAGTGTACGACTAGTCTCAATATTCTAAAACGTTAGTGCCAGAAAGTAATCGAAATATCAGTATCGAATGAAACACATTCCATATGGTGTAATGAGCAAGATTATAAATTGGGTCTTACTCAGTGTGGGTTAGCATAGCTAAAGTCTACCTTATTGGCGAGTCTCAGATAATCTGCAAAGTATCATGAAGATATAAAATAATATAGAATATAGCAGATTACAGAAAGCCAGAAGCTGGTAAAATATGACCATTTTGTACTGGCATCGACATGCTAAACCGTTATTTGAGGAAGATTAAATCGTAGTTTAAAACACAAGAATGCCGTTGGAAGCAGCAGTATTTCACTCTATGTAGAGCGTAGACCTTGTTTGCACCAGGATCATCTCTTGATGGATTCGAATGTAAGATTGGTACTTGTGCTGATACTGGTAATGACCTTTGATTGTCCGTATCGTGCACTGTGCTCGTGGGGCATATCAAAGTACAGCATCTACGACCTGCAACGCTGTCGGCTGTCCTTCCGCATCAAGCTTACACGCTTATATAACGGAAATTATATTTAAAGAGACGTTTAAACTACTCGCCAGACCCGTGTCTTGTGGTGCCTGCAATTATGTATTATTTATTGACGATGATAAGGGGTAATGGGAACACTCAGGGGGTAACGTGTCATGGAATACAGCTGCCATATTCGTAAATTCACGAAAGCAGGTGTGACGTTATCGGCACTTATTAGAAGCTAAACTACCGTCATGGGATCCTGACTCGAATAAGGGGCAATATTCGGCATAGCAAATTGCGTCTTCACCGATGCCAGCTAACGGTAAACAA